ACCTCAAGCCAGTGACAGACACCAGGTTGCCCTGCCTCTCAAGACCCCCGCCCTCTGGATTCCTTTCCCTAACAGAAACATGGGGGGTGAGGCTGGGGGGCTGATGGTAGCATGGGGTCCCTGGACCCCCAGGTGGACTGAAGGGTTGGGGGCCTCTGAAACTCCGCAAAGCCGAGGGAGTGCAGACATCTGAATATGTTTCCTCAGAAGGAAGCTGGAGCTCATAGCAGTCCCAAAGTCCCTGACCCCTAAGGGACACTAGGTGACTACACACACACGGACACCCAGAGGCAGACACACAGGACATGCGCAAGCTGTGACACCAGCGGAGACAGCTACACAGCCCACACCCACTGAGGCGTGTCCTCACTGCTGGGCAAACACCTAGTGGGTGCCGTGGGACCCCCAGAGGGGATCTACCTGTGCCACCTCCCGTGCTTCCCAGCTCCAGCGACAGCAGGGGCTTCTGCCCTGAGCTGGGTGAGGCCTTTGCCCTGGTCGGTGGGAAGCTTACCGACTAGGGTGGGGGCCCAAGGAGGGGACTGAGCATGCAGGAAAGAAAGGGACAAGTCCTTGGAGAGCATTGCTCCCCACTGCAGGCGGCAGTGCTTGTAGGTGGAAGAAGCCTGGATGCAGAGGGCCCCAGGGCGTCTGTCCTGTGTGCCACACTGAGCCTGGGGACACAGCAAGGAGTAGCAGGCAGACAGTGACTGTGTGCACGTGCTTGGGGTAAGGGCCACAGAGATCAGTGATCAGGGGGTGACCAAAGACCATGCCATAAAGGACAGGAAGGCATTGCTGTGGTCCTGCTCCCCAGGCCAGGGAACTGTCACAGTGCTCCAGCCTGCCCCTCCGCAGGAAGCGGCTCAGCCGTGCACAGCCCTCTCAGTGTGGCAGAGGCTTACTCCCAGTGCCCCACGTGCTCACCCTGCCACTACCCTCCCACGCGTCCAGTGCACGCACATGTGCTCACCCCCACAGGCCAGCGTTCTCACACATTCATGGATGTTCAGGAATCTCCACAGGCCAGGTGCTCACATTCATGCCCACACTTACCCACTAAGGGTTTTTCACGCCCTCATCCAGCTGTTCACACATGGGCACAGCTGTGTACACCCCCACACACTCATACACACTATCGACTCACACATTTACATACAGGTTCATTCACAGAGCCTCACTCATTCACTTGCTGTTCTTTGGCTGTGACACAGAAGCCAGGCCACGGGGCACTGGCTTTCTGGAGGGACATCGAACTGGTAGACCCGCAGGTGAGGCAGATGGCACTGCTAAGCAGTAGGCTGGGCAGAGCAGGTCCCTGCTGTCATTGGCTGACGGCTACCCTGAAACCTGGGGCATGCCCAGTGAACTGGGCAGACTGGGTCCTCAGGACCTATAGCTGCTGTGGGGACCCCTTGCCACCCCTGTGACCACACAGAGTCCCCTCTCTGGAACACCTGTTCTAAGCTCCGTGCTGTCCCATGCCACCCTCCTGCTGGTCTTCTTCCTTCGCTGCCTTTCCTATGGGGCCACCAGACCCACCTGGAGCGGGTTGTGGAGCTGGCTCTTTATCGCTGCCTAGGAGGCCTGGGAGTGGCTGTGAGAGCAGAGAGGAGACTCCCTTGGGGCTGTCACTGCCTTCTCTCTGGGACCAGGGAACAAACTGATTGTCCCTAGGGCGTGCTCACTTAACTGGTGGCTGCTGGCCATGACACTAGCCCTTGAAGTCTGGCCTGCTCCCCTAGGGAGAACTGAGATGCAGGCCCTCTCCCCCAGGGGCAAGAAGCAATTGGGGGAGAAAATCTGAGCAGGGCCACCTGCTGGCACCCCTCTGCTTCTGGCACAGTTTTGTGATGAGTCCTCCCAAAGCCAAGATCAGATAGCCAGGCAACAAGGTATCATGGAAGTCCCTGGTCCTTGGGAAATTCTGTCCCAATCATTAATGGCCAGGAGCAGGAGCGGTCCCCTTTTGTGGTTCATGTTGGTTGGCCCCTGGCCCGGAACTGGCAGTGAGGTGGCCCGTGTCCCTGCTGGCTTTCACTCATGGCTCCTCTGGTCCTCAGTCTGTGAAGAGGTGGGCAGGGAGAGCTTTGCTAGAAATTTCTGTCTTTGGTCCCAGAAACGCTTAGGGAGCCAGTCCTAGAGGAGTCCCTCCTGCCCCGTGCCCTCCCCTGCCCTCCTCTCCTGTGGTCCCACACTTACCCCCTCGGTGCCCTGGACCTTGCTGCTCAGGGACCCCAGGCTTGCTTCTGGCCTGAACCCCTCTGGCACTCTTCAGCCCTCACTCCCCTGTCCTGGCCTCTAGGTCACATGCCCCCCCCCATAGGCAGTGGTAAGTGTCCTTAGAAGAGGGAGGCAGGAAGCTATGTGACAGTGGAAGTTGGAACACTCAAAGCCACCAGAAGCTGGAAGAGGAAGGAAGGATTCTCTCCCATATGGTCAGAGGGAGCATGGCCCAGCCCATACTGGGTTTCTGGCCCCCAGAATTGAGAGGGAAGAGATGCTTGCAGCTTTAAGCCACACAGCCAGTGGTCATTTGTCACAGCAGTCCTAGGACACTCACACAGCCCCAACAGGGCCACCAAGGAGCACCACCTTACAAGCCCTGTGCACTGTTCCCCTTCGTCCTCCCAGCCTGCTTGGCCTCAAGAGAGCTCCATTCCTGGGATTCTGGAAAGCTCTGGTAGGCTGTGGGGAGTTCGTGTTCATGTGTGAATGGACACTCATATGTGCAATGGCTCCCCTTGTGAGTGTGGTTCCAGCCCTGAGGGCCAGCTCAGTCCCTAGGGCACTACCGGCACTCTGGTTGTCCCTTGTGCAGCCAGCACGAGGGCGCTTTGGTACCCTGGCATCTTGGGGTTCTCCAGGATCCCAGGGTCGGGCCCTTGCCCAGAAGCTAAGCGAGACAAAGGTCCCCCTGCTGATGGTGCCCTGACCACGTGTCCAGAATGGAGGGGGCGTGGCCTCTTCTCCTGGCCCTTGCCCTTCTGAGATGTCATCCCAGAGCCCACGGGAGGAGTGATGGATGAAAACTGTCCCCCATTTCCCAGAGCAGCTCTGTGGCCTTGGCTCCCAGCCTTCCATCTGCGCCCCCAGCCTCCTGCCTGCCAGGGGCTACCAGCCCCACCCTGGCCTAAGCCTGGCCAGCAGCCCTCCGACAAGCCCTGGCTTGTCTAAAACCAAGCAGTGGATTTGGCTTAGGCTCCAGCTGGGCCCCGCCACATCTAGAGGCACCTGACCTGCACAAGTGTTTGAAAATGACCCCTCTTCCTCCCCCAGGCCCCTCAAGGGCAGCCCCTTGGCAGCTACCCTGTGCACAGAACAGCTGTCCCCAAGCAGGGCTCTCTTGTGACACTCAATAGAGTGTGTGTGCTATGTGTGCCGTGCACATGCATGTTTGTGCATGTGTTAGTGTGTGTGCAAGCCTGACTGCATGTGTGCATCTCTGTGTTTCTGTGTCTGTACACACTTGTGTGTGCATATGCATGTGTTAGTGTGTGTAGTGTGTGGCCGTGTGTACTGGCATGTTTCTGTGTATGTGTTCATAGGTATGTGTGTGTGGGGGGGTCATGTGGGGTCTGGTGGCCGCCCCAGCCGGCCCCTGCTTTGCGCCTCCTTCTTCCCACCTGGTGCCCTGCCAGGTGCCCCGCACCCCCTAGCTGCCGATGCCCATCCTTCCGTCCTCAAGCCTGGGGCCCCTACTCAAGCCCGAGGTGGGACCTTCCCCCATGCCCAGCACGGAGCGCTTGTCCCGGAGCGGAGCTCTGCCCTCCACCCCTGGGGCTTCCTGAGGCCACCTGCATGTGAGTGTGGGTGTGAGTGTGAGGGCTGCTGGCCCACAGGGGCGGGTTTTCTGGAAATTAGCTTTATCGTCTAATAGTTTGCGACATACTTGACAGAGTCAGGCTAAGGGGCTGGTGTGGGCAGTGAGGGTGCCACACACCCGTGTGACACTTGTCTCCCCACTGTGTCCTGAGCTGCAGTGAGAAGGTGGCAGAGGAAAGACCGTCGGCGGGCGGACTTGGGGGGGGGGCTAGGGGGCGGAGAAGCACCCCCGAGAAACGGGCCTTCAGGGCCTGGCTCTGGCTGCCCTTCCTCCCTGCCAGCCAGGGGACTTGACTGAGGCTCTGACTCCTGGCACCCAGCCAGTACCTTTGCCCTGTGCCTGCCCAGCTCAGCAGAGGTTGCTGGGCCGTAGAGCACATGCCCCAGAATAGTGCTATGATGCTGCCGAGTGACATTCTATCGCTGGGCCACCATGCTGCGCAGTGTCCACAGTCCCAGAATGGAGAAACCTGGGGACACTGAGTGTCCCTCGTGCCAAGCCAGGGATAAGGGAACGGCTGTGTGTGAGGAGCCATGCCAGTGCCTATGGGCTCCATGCGCCCGGACTGTCACTCAGGTGGGTCCGCTGGCTGCCTGTGGCCACAAGGAAGCCCCAGCTCCCACCTGCTGAGCGGAGACCTCTCCTGTGGGACACAGAGGGAAAGCTTCAGGCCTCAGCCTGCTGGGCCAGCCTCCAAAAGGTGTTGCTCTGGGCACTGTCCCTTTCTGGGACAGCTGTGGGTCCCTGGTGAGCAGGCTTCCCTGGGCCTGAGCTAGTCCCTCTCTCAGTGGGACCTTCGGGGGCACAGGACCAGAAGCCAGCAGCACACTGCCCTGGTTCCAGGGGCCCTGCCCCTTCTGCCCCTTCCTGAGTGGGACCACAGGGACTAGACACAGTCTGCCCCCAGAGGGCAGATGACACCGTGGGCCCGACTTGCTCCTGGAGCCAGCCTAAGGACAGCTTGGAAGGGAGGGGATGTGGCCAGGGCCTGGGCCTTCAGCCTGTTCACTTGGGGCCTGAGGGTGACAAGGGCCCTCTTCTGAGGGCAGGGATGAAGAAAAGGCGGCACAAGAGCTCAGAGAGGCATAACCTGGAAGGCGGCCAGAGGCAGCCCTTGTGCCTCTGCTCTCTGCTTGGTCCCCGGTGCTATCCCAGGAGGAGGGGGCCGCGGAGCCATATTGCACAGTGTTTTTTTAATTAAAGGACAACCAACCTCAGAAGCAGCCCTCCTTGAGCTGGGTGTGACTGACATCCCCACCACAGCAGCGACCAGAAGGCAAGGGGGGGGGGACTAGCCATCAAGGGGGGACTCTGGCGGCATGCCGATCCTCCTGGGGGACAGAGGGATCACTTCTCATGGGGGTACATGGCTGCCTCCCCAGGCAACCTGTGCAGGTCTGGCCTCCACCTTCCCACCTCCCCAGGGCCAGAGCAAGGCAAGACTGGGATCGAGTGGCTGGGGGCAGCTGGCCCCCACTTATTTGGGCAGGGGCCTGCAACAAAGAGCAGAGCCAGCCCAGGGCCGAGGGTCAGAGCATGAGCACATGTGTATGTGTGTGTATATGTGTGAACAAATCAGATCCAGGAGTGAGCAGGTCACGGAGCCCCAAAGGGAGAAGTATGTCAGGAAGCATGACACAGACTGAGGGGGAGAGGGGAGAGACAAGGGGCTGGTTCCGGGCCAGCAGAGCAAGGTGGCTGCAGCAGACAAGCTGAGAACTTGGTGGAGTGGCGACCCCGAACCCTGGGGGCCCCGACGCCTGGGACAGGTGAGGAGGAGAAGGAACACCTGCCTGGGTAGGGAGCCCCTGACTCTGTCCCTACCAATACCCCCTGCCCCCAAAGATGGGCTCCCTAGGACTGGGGTTTCAGGGTGAGCAAGAAGAAAGCTTCTCAGGGGCGCCTCTGGGTGTCCATGGTGGGTGGGCAGGGCAGCTCTGAAGCTGAGGGGACAGGTGATGGGGGCCAGGCCCTGTATCCACCTGCACGTTTGGGAGCCAGGGAAGGCAGCGATTCGGGGCAGGGGACCACAGGTGGGGGCTTTCACTCCTCACTTAGCCTCCCCTCCAGGACAGTGGGCTGTGTTCCCCAGAGATCCCCACCAAGGCCACCATGGTGGCTGCTGCTGCCTCTACTTTTTGTAGTTGCCAAACTGGATGGCCAGGCGGTCAGTGACACAGCGAAAGGTGGCTGGCTGCACCTCCCAGTAGGGCACGGGGTTGTTGAACAGACTGATGCCGTTGTAGTAGGCCCGCTTGACGCCAAAGCCCATGGGGCAAAAGTCATTGACGCCCACTTTGGTGATGTTGTTGGAGTGCAGATAGACCACCTAGGGACAGACAGACAGGGCCGGGGCACACTGTGAGGGCCCCGTCATCCCAGAGCTCCCTCTCCATCTCTTCTGGCCTGGGTGGGTGCTGTGGGCACTGACGAAGGTCAGGAGGAAACTGAGGCTTGGGGATTGGGCAGGCCTTGGCCGGGACTGGGCCTCTGGTGTGTGACCAGGGACCAGGATGAGGAGATCACGTGGGGTTCCTGGAGAGTAGTGGGGCTGGGACCATCATGCGCTGTGTGGACTGGCTCCTGGCATGCTGTCTACGCAGGAAAGATGACACCTTGGGCTGACAGAAGGCCCCTGGAGAAAGCCTTCAGGATGTCCACCTCTCCCTCTCAGTCCTCAGGGACACTCAGCCTTGAGCAGCAGGTCCCTAATCCCAAAAGCCACTCTCTGGGGAGGATCTGCAGAGGCCAAGTGAGGCCTGCTGGTGGCAGAGAAGGCCGGCCGCTAGAGGGCGTGCTTGGCTAGGCATGGGCCACTGCGCTGACCCCAGAGGCTGTGTGCCAGGTCATTGGGCATGGCCAGGTGTGGCCGCGCGATTGCAAGTCTGCATGGCTAAGTGAGGATGACAGTATCGCTACCATTGTGATTGGGGCAGAGGAAGAGACTGAGGTCTGAGCAGGGCTGGGCAAGTCCAAGTCCACCCAGTTGGCTGGCTGGAGGGCCCAGGCAACCTCACGGATGGAGGGTGGCATGGTCCACGGGCTGCAGGAGAGGGAGTGGGGACCGAGGGGTGAGACCCAGAGTAGCCTGTGCGGCCCCCCTGCCCATCCCACCTGGAGGAGCTTGAGGTCGGGGAGCCCCACAGGCACCCGGGACAGCTTGTTGTTGTCTAAGTGCAGCTCCCGCAGGGTGGGCAGGAAACTCAGGCTCCCATTCTCAATCATGCGGATCTGGTTGTGGCCCAGGCCCAGCCTGTGCATGGGGCAATGAGAGTCCTCAGAGACTGGGGGGAGAAGGATGGCGGCACGCAGCCTCCCAAGCTGCCCCTGCAGATTCTCACCTGTACAGCTTGGAGTAGCGCAGCAGGTCCTCTAGCTCGATAGCCTGGATTTTGTTGTGGTCCAAATGGAGCTCATTCAGCGTCTCAGGGAGATCTGCCAGGAGAGAGGGCCTCCAGGTGAGCACAGGGCCTGGGAGGGGCTGGTGAGTGGAGGGCCTTGCCCAGTCCTGCCTACCTTTGGGGATGCCAGTGAGCTTGGCCTCAGAGATGCGCAGGTAGTTGAGCTTCAGGCCGTCGAAGGCTCCAGGTTCAAAGCCACTGTTCTCCAGGGGGTTCCCGCCCATCTCTAGGAGACAGGCCCTGTCAGCCCTGCACCCACTTCCTCCTGGCCCTGGCCGCTGGGAGCAGGGAAGCCAGAGGCAAGGGGCACCCAAAGATGAACACAGGGCTCCCGGAAGCTGCCTGGCTCCACTGGCCAGCACTAGGCCCTCTCCCACACTGAGGGTTTGCCGGGAAAGACACCCAACTTCCTTTAGACTGTTTTCAACACTCAACCTGGGCCTTTAAAGCCACCCTAGGCGGGGTGTGGTGGTGCACGCCTGTAATCCCAGCTCTCTGGGAGGCTAAGGCAGGAGGATGGCAAGTTTGAGCCTAGTCCCTGCAATTTAGCCAGACTTTGTCTGAAAGAAAAACATAATAATACAGGGGCTAGGCATGTAGCTTTGTGCGGAGACCCTTGATTCAATCCCCCCCAAAATGAGTAAATAAACAAAGCCACCTCCAGTCTCCTTTCACTGTGCCCTGGGACAAGTGTGTGGGAGGCTGTGGGAGGCTGTCCCATGTCCCCGACCCCTCTAGGCCCACACTTTCGGACAGGGCAGGGACGTCACCAATGCAGTTCATGTTGCGGAGCCCGCTGAACACGCCCTTGGGCACTTTTCGGATGCGGTTGTCATGGATGCGCAGCTCCACCAGGGAGCTGGGCAGGTTGGGCGGGATCTCCACCAGGTGGTTCTTGGAGATGTACAGCTTCTGCAGCTTCCGCAGGGGGCTGAAGGCCTTCTCGTGGATCTTGGAGATCTTGTTGTTCACCAGGACAAGGGCCTGCGGATGGTGGGCGACTGAGGAAGGCCGCAGCTCCTGCACCTTTTCGCCCACCTCCCTCAACCCCTGCCCGACGCCTGAGCTGAGCACTTCTCCGCCTCAAGGTCGGTCTGTGCTCTGCTGCTTCCAGTTTCAGTTTTCCCCTGGCACACTGGCTACAATGAATCTGTTCTTTCCGTGTTGCTGGGACGAACCAGTATGAAGAGTTGTGCTGAGAAGGTGCCCAAGCTGAGTGAGCTTTTTGGGTTTTGTTTGTGTTTTTTGAGACAGGGTCTCCCTATGTAGTTCAGGCCAGCCTTGAACTCATTATGTAGCCCAGGCCGGGCTCCAACTCACAGCAGTCCTTCTGCCTCAGCCTTCCAAATGCTGGGATCACAGGAACGCGCCACCACGCCTCACTTTCTGACTCGAATGATCTTGTCCTTTGCCCGCACACAAAGCCCATGACCTCGGGAGCTCCAGCCACCTGCCATGCCCTGCTCTCAACTTCCCAGACTCGGAGGTGTCACTTCCCACATGGACCCCCCCCCCCCCCCCTCTTCCCCCGCCTCGGGGGGTTCCCCTCCCCCCATGGCCCCCCCCCCCCCCTGCTCTTCAAAGTGAGGGGTAGCAAAGACCTTACATAGAGGTGCTGGAGGCCTTTGAAGTCATCCTTGCGGAGCTCAGAGATGTCGTTGCTCTGCAGGTCCAGCAGCGTGGTGTCTGGGGAAATCTCCTTGGGCACATTCTTCAGACCTGGGGGCCCGAGCATCGCCAACATAAGCGCCAGCCCCCAGCCCTCTGGGGTTCTGGCACCAACACAGGGACGCTGCTGAAATGCCCTCTCTTCCTCTTCCCTCGGCTGCAGCCAGACCGCCGGCCACACTCACACACCCACGCTGCCCTCCCTCGCCCACGCCACAGGAGAGACGTGTGTCCCAGATGTCCAGGGACTAACCCAGGTCCGAGCACTGGACAACTCGCAGGTGGCAGTGGCAGCCAAAAGGACACATGGCACTGAAGGTGGGTGTCACGGAGTCCATGTCTGGGGCACCAGAGGTGCTGTCGGCTCCCGAAGCCTCCTCGTCGTTCATGAACAGCCCGTCGTCCAGGGCGAAGTCCCAGAAGCCTTTCTGCTCGAAGGGCAGGGCCTGGCCCAGGGCCAGCAGGGCGGCCAGGAACCACAGGGGCTGCATGGTGCTCAAGCCTGGGGGCCAAGGTGAGAAGGGGCCGGCATCAGCCCTGGGCATGCAGCCCACCTTCCTGCACTGCGTCCCCGCCCTTCTCCGGGGTTAGCCAGAGCCTGGCGCAAGGTGGTTTCCACCCCTCCTCTCCCAGGCAGGACTTGGCTTCGTCAGGTCTTGGAGCCCGCTTTGGAGAAGAATCAGTGAAGCCTGGAAGAGAACCCGTGGGCCACCCGGACCAATCCCGTCCCGGAGTTCCGGGCGCCGGGCAGTTGGGATGCAGTTAGCTAAGCTGGGCAGCCATGAGTCATTTCCTTCCCTACCGGAGCTTCTCCACTGTGCCCACGTTTCTCACAGAGAATCCAAGGGACAGGAACAGGCTGGGAAAAGAGGGATGTCCCCTGAGGCCACGGGCAGCTGTCAGTGGAGGTCCCTTCCCTCTGCTCCTGTGACCTTGCCCCCCCCAAGCTGCCCCTGCCCTTCCTGTGTGCCCACACCTGGCATCCTGCAGAAGCCCTGAGTGGAGCAGGCTGCTGCCGGGTGGGAGGGCAGGGGCAGGCTTGTCTGAGACCCCCCAGGGTGAGGCAGCGGGGTGCCAATGGAGAGAAGCTGCCCTGCCCAAGCCTGCCCCGGACACCCACATCTGCCTCCCTCTTCCTCCCCCATCAGATGCTGCCCCCACCCAGGGCTGGTCTGCACCTCCCCCTACCAGACAAGGCTCTGGGTCCTGACTCCCTGACCAAGGCCCTGCTGTGTTCCAGCCTTCTCCTCTCGATCTGTTGAATGAGGGCAAACAGGTCCGCCCTGCTGGCCTCCTACACCTAGGTGTCTGTGGTTGCCAGCTGCAGCTGGGTACCAGGGGTATCCCGCACAGTTGAGCCACACCAGCCCAGTTCCCTCTCGAATGGGGAGCTGGATGGGGTGCTGGTCCCTGGGGTCACAGGCTGCCCCCCTGCTGGGGGTGTGCCCAGCCTCCCTCTCTCCTTGGAGCCTGGAGATGCCTGGATCACACCCCAGGGCCCTGCCAGGCTGGCCCAGTGGGAGCCGGGGACCCTCCCAGAGTAGGTGGGCAGACCCCTTAGGTGCTCACCTACCTAAGTGCTGTCCCCCTTCTTCCCATCGGTTTGCAGCCTCTGGGGTAGGGACCCAGACACCCATGCAGGAGCGGGGAGGAGGAGGAGGTGGCTAGAGGCAGGAGATCGAGGACTGGGAGGGGGGTGGAGCCCACCCTCTGCCGGCACCTCAGAGGGAATGAGTCAGGCCAGCGTCCATGTCCACCTGGGCAGCGGGTGGGCTCTGGGGACAGAGGGTCGTCAACCTGCCAGCAGCCTGGGGCCCCAGATCCACACAGTGGCCTGCAGGTCACCACAGGGCTCCCCTAGGAGAGGAGACACACAAGTGCTGGGGACCGGCCTTGGGGTCGGGGACTTTGGAGCAGCTGCGCCTGACGTCACAGTGAGGGTGGGAGGCTGGGCTTGGAGGCCCCGTGGCAGAGCACGATGGGGTTTGGCGGGGTTTCCATGGCCCATGGCTCAGTGCCCAGAACGCCGTAAGGGAGGGGCAGGCCAGACAAAGAGGGCCCCTGACAGAGCTGAAGAGCCCGGGAGCGCCCTGGAAAAGTGAGTGCCCCCACTTTAGGGTTAAAGCAACTGAGGCCCAGAGAGGGGTGCCTTTCCCCCAACACTCAGCTCACTTGGCCTGAGACTTGTGCCCAAGTCCTTACCCAATAGGTATGTTGTGCGCAGGGGTGGCCAGTGGGGGGCCCCAGGCCTGTCTGGGCTTCGTGTCCCAGAGTCCCACACTCACTCTGCAGAGACACGGACGCCTCCAGCAAGTACCTTCCACACCCTCCCACCACCACTGGGTCCTCTGGGCCTCAGTTTCCCCTCAGTGGCCTCCTGGGCGTGCCCTGCAGCCCCATCAAGGTGCACTCTGAGCTCCCTGGGCATGGCCTCCTCAGAGCAAAGGAAAGAAATGGTCATGGTAGTGACGCTGGCGTGGTGACCTCAGGTGTGAGCAGGAAGGGCCCACCTCCCGGAGCACTGCTGCCACCCCACATAGCACCTTCCTTGTCTCCCGTCTGAAAGCCAGCGCAGTGCTCAGCGCAGGATTGCTCCAGGTCACAGCCAAACCAGACGTGCTGGCAGTCTCTGAGAACATGGAGGGGCTGTGCCAGGCATTCAGGCCAGGCCAAGGGCAGCGGGCGCAGGGCTTGAGGTCTGGCTGGCCTGGGAACGCGCCTGCAGATGTATGGCTAGAGGCTGCCAAGGAGCCGACACCAGGCACAGTCTCTGCGGCCTGGGCCCCAGGCTGTCTGACCCCACTGAGCAACCCCACCTGAACCCTGACATGGGGCTGCAGCCCACCCCCCCACCCCTTGCCCTGGATGGCTGCAGGCTACACTTGGCTGTAGAAGAGAGGAGGGACGCGTGCTGCCCGTGGGTCTCCTAAAGGCCGAGTGTGTGTGCACGTGCGTGTGTGTGCCTGCGTGCCCGCATGCATGCGTGGGGTGGGGCTGGAGCCCCGCCCCATCTGACCCAGGCTGTCCCAAGCCCATGGCCTTTGAAATGCGGAGCAGATGCCCAACTTCAGTGGCCAGGGCTGCTCCTTCCTGCTGTGGCCCTGGCACTCCTGGACACAGCTGGGTCCTGCGCTTTAGGGCACTCAGGGGACGGGATGGACTTGGACCAGTCCAAGTAGGTGTTGAGGTGGCTGGGTGCATCAAGGGAGAACCTTCTCTCCCCTACCCCCACCCTGGAAGAAACCTCTGCAAAGGAGCTGAGCAGAGCTGCCTCCCACACTGGAGAAATCCAGGCTCCTGCTCACCATGTGCTAGAGCCTTTGAGGAAAGTGAGGCTGCTGTCACCTCCCAGGGATGCAGCAGGGGACTCGAGGGATTTCTTTATCCAGCTAGCCCTCTCCTCTGCTGACCAAAAGAAGGGCATGGCCCTTTTCACCTTTGCTGAAGGACTAAACTGACCCTCGGAGAGCTTCCCCAAAACTCATGGTCAAGGCCACACGGCGAGGAAACACAGTCACACGTTGGTGCTCAATTGCTTTGAAACTCACCGAATTTGGTGCCCAGTGCATTTTGATGTGAAAGTTTTGTCCTAGTACACATCCTCTGGTTGGCACTGGACGTGCAAGCTAGCACTTGTCAGTGTCAATTGCCTGGTGACTCGCTGCCCCCTCCAGCCAAAACTGTGTTCGGGCCTCATTGTTTTAGGACTCATCAAGCCTCCCAGAACCAATTAACAAGTACTGGGGTACCACAGTGGTAGAGCTGGGACTCCACTGTGTCTGTCTCCCTGTGTCCATGCCATGCTGAGCCTTGCTCCTGGGGAGGAGGCTGGGGTTTCCTGCCACCCCTTCCCTATCTTCAGTCCCCTGCTCTCTGCCAGGGGCTCTGCTTGGGATGAGACTCAACCTTCTTAAGGTTGCAGAAAGGCTGAGAGCTGGTCGCTCTTTAGGAAGCCCTTCCAGCCCATGGGAGAGCAATCAAGGCTGAGCAGGGATTCAGACTTCCGGAGGACAAAAGCAGTGGCCCCAGGGCCTGCCCTCGGCCTCATCTTTCAGTGGGGCTCTTCACAAAGCCCCCAACCTGTGGCAACCCAGGCCTCGGTCCCCAGGGACCAGCCAGGGCTGTGCTGGCCCGAAGCTCCCGCGAGAGAAGCAGTGGCAAGCTCGGGTTCAGCCCCGATGGTGTCGGCTCCGCTGGGGTCCCGGATGGAGTGGACCAGGAGAAGGCAGTGTGAGGAAGCTGGGAAGAGCCTGGGTCCCGACACTGAGGAAGCGCTATCACAGGGAGGAGGTGCGGCTGTGCAGTTCCGTGGGTTCCTCCTTAGCCACCCCAGGGGCTGCCCTGGGCGGGAGCCATAGCCAGTGGGTAAAGAAGGTGAAGGGCAGCGAGGCTGCTAGGGCAGCCAGCACCTGAAGTCCCAGAGACAGCCAAGGATTCTGGCCCGGGGGTCGGGGGCTTTGGCTGTGGGCTCCAAGTTGGGGAAGGGAATCAAAGGCCTGGAAAGGAAGGGGGGACAGAGCCCAGCCCCCACTCCTCAGAGGTGGTGGCCCTGCACGCCCTGCATCTTCCCCTAAAGACCCCTGGAAGCTGGCGCTTTCTGGAAAGCTAGAGAAGGGCAGGGTTGAGTGGTACCGCCATCCCCCCATGGCTGCAGTCCCTCGGGCTTGCCCTGACTGGTCTCGGTAAGATTGCAGAGCCCAAGTGATGGCGCACTCCTGTCATCCCAGCATTCCAGAGGCTGAGGCAGGAGGATCTCAGGTCCAGCCCAGTCTGGCCAACTTGGCCAAACCCTGACTCAAAGAACTGAGAACTAATAAGGGTCTGGAAACATAGCTCAGTTCTAAGACCCTGGTCCAACCCCCAGTACTGGGGTGAGGGAGATTTGCAAAGGTCCGGGTAAATGGCCAAGGTGTGGTGTGGCCCGTATCCCCTTCCAGCCCAGTGTCTGAGCACAAGAGGGTGAGGTTGGGGACCATGCAGGCTGCCCTTCCCAGGCCCCGGCACAGCAGGCCAGCCTGCACCCCTCAGCCTGTGGCTGTGTGCCCGGGGGAGAGTTACCCCCGGCCCCAGACCCTTGGTGCAGGTGAGGTCCCTGTGCTGGGTGGTGGCCCCGAGGTGCCCAGGGTAGGGGCTGCTGCCGGCACTGGGCAGGGTGCTGCCAGACTGGAAGCTGGGAGCAGGGGAGAGGCCCGCGGTGGGTGTACCAGTCAGGGGCCCTGGAGGGGAGCACAGGGGTGGAACTTTAGCAGGTGGGCATCCTGTGGGTTAGCTCAGGAAGCAGGGAGACTAGGGCAGTGGCCCCCAGTCCTCTCCGAAGGCTCCAGATACAAATGGTCAAGTGTGGCCTCATTACCAATCCTCTCTCTGGGAATTTGACACTGTCACTGGAAGGGACACCCTTGGGCCTTGAGTGACTACAGAGCATTGGTAAAGGAGGGACTGGGAAGCAGTTTGCCCGAGGCCTGTAAGACATCCTGCTTGATGGGCAGAGGCTGGCATCCTTCCTCTCCGGGCATCTCTCTGGGCAGGGTGCAGAATCAGTGAGGGAACCCCAGGTCCTTGGGGCTGGAAGGTGGGCTAGTCACTGGCCACAGGAGATCCCTCTGTCCCTGGCCCAGAGCCTGCTCCTGCCAGCCAGCCCCAGTGGCTGCTGGGTGCCCTTCGTCTTCTGTAGCTGTCAGAGCAGCTACACAGTCTTGCCCACAGCACCCATATGTGGGTACGTGCCACACAAAGGTGCTCTTGCCTGCCCAGCAGTTCTTCCAGGGTGTGGTGGCGCAGGTAGCTGGCGTCACAGGAAGCACTTGACTGCGCCCTGGGTGCAGGTCCCCCTGGGAACCTTCCTGAGACCTACCGCACATCCCCAGCTCCTCTCGATCCAATTGCTCCTTACAGGGCAGAGGACTGGCAGGCCAGGGAGGGGTGATCCCCTGACGGGGGGACCTCTGGCTGGGAGACACCTGTCCCCACCTGTGGCCTTGCCCTACAGGAGACTAAGCCTTTTTCTCAGGGCACTTGGTGGGTACCCAGATGGTTCTGCACTCTCTTGTTGCCTTCCCTGCGGGACGCTACACCAGGTCTGTCCCCCCCAGGCATGGCATAGTTCCCCGATTTCCACCTCCCCCACCCATCCAGAGTCCCGATCTGAGAGGGTTCAGGGGACAGACAGGGTGGTGGCACCCAAATGATCCCACCCAGAACCCGTGCAGCTGGGGCTCTGCGGACCCGCGCCTTGCCCAGGAGGAAGTAGAGGCAGCATTAGAACTGATGAGTGTGGAATATCTGGGCAGGGTGCCTGGGGCGTGCCTGGGAAACCGAGTCTGCCCACGCCAAGGACTAGCCTAGGCAGTGGGGACTGTGCCCAACGCTGAGCTTGCAGGAGCCTGAGGCCCCCCCAGTCCCAAGGCAAAGTTCCAGCGTGAGGCTGGCTGGACAGAGTGTGGTTGGCCAAGAGACAGGGCCCTAGGTAGAGCCAGGGTGTCACCCTCACCCTGCCCCAGAGCAGCTGAGGTCAGAGGGGACCAGGAAATGGGGTGGGAAGACGGTGGGGGGAAGTGGCAGAAAAGGGGCAAGGACCGAGGGGGCCGCAGGGTGGCGATGAAGGGGCACAGACCAGGAGGCTGCAGTGGGTGCTCTGGAAATCCGCAGGAGCCCTGGGGGCGGGAGCGGGCAGAGGAGGGGGCAGTGTAGCTGCTGGGGACAGCAGGACTCCAGTCTGGGACAGCAGAGACAGCAGGGCTGGTGGGGACAGCAGAGTCACAGGCATCTCTAGGCTGGTGAGGGGACGGCGGAGCCAGGGGCGAGACAGCAAGGGCAGCTGGAAGCCAGGGCAGATGGCAGGACAGTGCAGCGCTGGCGCCGGGCCCTACCTGGGGCGAAGCAGCCAGGTGCGGGCTGGTAGTTGGTGGGCTTGGGGCTGTCCGTGTGTCTGCTGTGTCTGTCCGTTGGGCAGGGCCGGCCGAGAGCAGCTGCTCGCTCCTGGGCAGTTGGAGGAGAGAGGGAGAAGAGGTGGTGGGAGGGAGGCTAAAGGCTGGG